AACGGGCAAGGACTGACACTTAGGACAGACAAAAAGATGGGAGGAAAGGGCTGCCAGCGTGGGGAGGAGGATCAGAAATACTGGGGAGCATTTTGCTCCAAGCATCCTGCGTCACCCACAATCCCAATGAGATCCTTAGGGATACAGGGGACAAGCACCCATGCCCTCAAAAGGGTTACTGGTGTTATTGTGCTGGGTGTGCAATGGGTGCTGGGTGAGTGATGGGTGCTGGGAGTCCAACCTGGCTGGCTGGGCAGCGGGAGAGAGGCAGGCAACTCTGGAAAGGCTATTCAGAGCACTTGAGTTAAATGCCTTGAAGTGGGTGGAGAGAATAACCTTCTTTATGCCTTGTGTTTTCAAAGGAAGGATTAAGCATTGTTTGTCTCTGACTAGCTAGAATCAGGCATAAAGTATCCAAGCTGTACAAAGAGACACTAATTGCCTTTTTTTATAAACTCTTTTTTTCCCCTTCCTCCTCCACCACTCCTGAATTCTTAACACTTTCCTTTCTTTGCAGACTTGCTAGAATGAGGGAGGGCTATTAAATACTTCTCAGATTTTTGTAGGTAATAGTCCATGCCTAGAAAGTAGCTGGGAGGAAAGCTGGAGTTATGCTGGATTTTTGTGCTTCAGAAAGGCAAAGCTCTCCATTTTGGAAAAGCAAGCTGCAGCTGAGCTAGGGTAGAGGGAAGCAAAGGCAGCCCTGTACCAAGTCAGCATGAAAAGAAGAAAACTGAGAATCCTGGGCTGCTTTTGCCAAATCTAGCTCACTTTGTGCTGAAAATGACTGCAGGTCACCAACCTATCTGTGCACCTTGGTGATTTCAGGGAGTGGTATGGCTGAGGAAGGGTTGTTTGCTTGTCTAGGGGTTTGGGTTATTGTTTTGGTTTTACTTTGAGTTTTTGTGTAGCCATTGGTAAGTGATGCAAAGTACTTGCTTTGACTAGTGGAAGGTTGAATATTTTCTGAAGCTTTTCCACGTGCACTCCCATGAGGAAGGGGCTGGGTGGTGGGAGTAGGAGTGATAGATGAAGCCAATGGGTAATGTTGAGTGAAAAAGCAGGGATAAAGATCATGACCCATCCTCAGTCAAAGCTGGAACAGCTGATGTGGCTGCTCCTGGCCTCCTGCTGTGAGAAGGGGTTCACTGGTTTGTGGTGAACCATGGCCCAAGAGCACATCTTGCGGGTTGGGAGAGCAAACTTTTGGCCATGATTCATAGCAGGTGCATGAGCAGGTCACACATGGTGCCTGGGACCTCTGGAGGGGCACACGTGCCCACGTCTTGGCATCTCACAGCCTCACACCTGAGCTTAAACCCTTGTTTGCTGGTCTTTGCTGTGCCCAGGAATGGTCTCCCCTCTGCTCCCAATAAGAAGGCTATTGGGCATGTGGGACTGGCAAACAGGCTCGTCACGAATTGTTCATATCTGAAGCATTTGCGGTAGATCAGTCAGTGGTTGCTTTTTTGGAAGTCAGGTGTCGGCATGAGGTTGATGCTGGCATTGTGGCAGCAGGGACATGATGCGGCTCCTATTACACGCTCCGAGGAATACACACAGAAAGAACAAAGCAATAATTATGCCCAACTGCAGCTACAATTGTCTTTTAGCTGAATTGACATGAAATTTCCATCAGTTGCGGCACTGGCTATGACTGGGAGGAGGTTTGATTGCTGGGAAGGAGGCAGCGGGCAGCAGCCTCAAGCCACAGTGAGCACTGGCCCTGCACACTGGCATGGGATGAGAGGAGCTGGGAAATGTGCAGCCGTGTCCTGGCTTTGTGCAATAGCAAACTTCCCTCCGAAGCCCATTTCTTTATGGCTCAATTTGTTTCGGATGGAGGGTGCATGCAGACGGGTTTATTATTGTAAGGTTGCTAAGCTTCGGCAGGCTGCTCGTTAATTTATGCTTCTAAAGGAAGGCAAAGGAGACAATTTGTTTTCAGTGATAGGGAAAAAACTTGAGCAGTACAGGAGCTGGTATACAAGGGGCTGGAGAGGGGAAATGAGCAGGTAAAGCAGGTCATGCACTGATTCCACACCCATGCATCCTGTGCTCATCCTCGGCACTACAGAGAGATGATGCTCAGCTGTGAGCCCACCACTGCACACCAGGACCATTGTGAGCCTGGTGAGCCAGCACTTGTTTTTCTTCTTCACAAACACATTTCAGATCTGTTGTTTGCTGGGGGTGCCAGGAGCAGGTAGGAAGGGGTGAGGAAAACATAAGCAGCTCCCCATGGCTTCCTCTGGAGTGGGGGTACTAGCTGTGAGCCAGGCTGAGCCAGCCCCTTCTGCTGGGCAGCTGATAACAATTTGAATATTCAGATTTGCTTTCAGCCATCCGCAGGGGGCTCGAAGGCTCCAGGAACCAGGAGCAAGGAAAGCAGCATGGTGGCAGAAACAAAAAAAATAAATAGCTGAATAAATATATAAATGGCAACTCACCGCAGCCCTCCCGGGAGGCAGATGTATTCCCCTTCTCCAGACCTCACACAGGGAGACTGAGGCACTTGAAGGGCTGCTAATTAGGGATGGTGGGTATCTGGAGGCTGATCTCCTTCTCCAGCTGGAGGGGAATTAATCCACCCAGCTCTCTTCCCGCAAATACTTTGATGTTTCAACTTTTATCTGATGCCTTCAACAAACTCACTCCTCTCTAGCTTCCAAGAAAATCCCTTGCATCTTGCCGCCATGAAAGGTGCTTTTGCAGAGAGGGCACTGGACCCTGGGAGAGACACAGCGGCCTCGGCAGCAGATCTGGGCAGAAATTTCGCAGTGAAATGGCTTTCTGTCACTGGTGGAAAATGATTGTTACAAATTGGCATCCTAAGGATAGAGTATGAAATAATGGCTTGGGGAGTGATGCTTCCTCCTGCTGTTCTCCGTATCCTCTGCTCCTTCCTTTCCAGGCTCTGTACCAGTGTTAGGGACCATCCTTTACTCATGCCAGGGTTGGCCCTTCCCAGTTTTCCAGCAAAACAGCTTTTGGACGGAGCTAAGTCTGCCCCAAGACAGGTCCTTTTTGTTCCCTCTGTATGGGTGCTTGCTCCACTTCGTGTTGTCCACCAGCGGAGCATTGCTGGGCTCCTGGGGCGGTGGATGCCCTTGGGGCTTCCTTGTGTGGCTCCTTGGGTGCCTTCAGGGCTTGCTCTTGCTGTGTGGCTAAGCAGGAGATGCACAGCTTGCCCCCTGCTCTGATGGCTGCGGGGGGTGTGGGGAGGAGGGCAAGTAGGGATGCTGTTCGTGTCGCTGGCTCACGGTGGACACGCTTAGCCAGCTTTTGCTATTAGTGCCCCTTCGTGCCTTTAATTGGTCCCTTTTTCTGATAGGAGGGAGGTCATTTGGGGAAAATTGGAAATTCGGCTCTGGTTGCTTCTGAACTTGCTTTTCATGTGCTCTGCTGGGCTGTGCTTTGGGAAGGGGTGCCGTGCCAAGAGTGGGGATCCTAAAGTGCTGCTTTCGGTATGTCAGTGGTCCTGCTGGTTTGGCGGCCAGGTCTTGAGAGAGGAGGAATTTTCCAGTTCCCGGTCTGAGCTGTCTGACTGGAAAGAGCCCTCTGCTTGGGAGAGGCACACGTGCTGTGCCTTCCAGCACAAGGCAATGGAATCCCAGTGTGTGATACTGTGTGCAGTGTGTGGATCTTGAAATAGTAAAAAGGATTTTCCCTCTGGCTGTGTGCTGTATAGGTTCATCCCAGGGATACATTCCTTTCATGCGCACATGGATTTTGTATAAAATGGGTGCACATGAAAAGAAGATTTGTAGAAATCACACGCATTGTACACCCAGTAAGCATAATAAAATGCAACAAAGAGCACTTAAGGTCAGTGCTGAACCCTATGACTCAGTTAACCAAACCCAAGCAGAGAAACACTCCCCCTGTGTCTCTGGTAATTGCATTTTTACATGTCTGAAGGCGAAGGGCTGTGCCTAAGCTGCTGGCATTGGCAGGTTTGCACCTGATGCGCAAGCTTTGCCGTCAGGTCGGTGCTTCTGTCCCGTGCTTGCCCCCAGGCTGGCCCTGGGTGCCCGCAGCCTTACCCCACGGCTTTGCCGGGTCCTTCCTCCTTTGTCACTGTCAACCTTCCTCTCTCCATTCCCAGGGACCCAACAGCATTTTCGAGGTTTACCTGGTGGGCAACAACTCCAACCACTTCATCATCTCACCGACCTCCATCCAGGGGAAGGCAGATATCCGCATCCGCGTGGCAGTGCCACTGGACTTTGAGACGATTCCTCGCTATAAATTTTCGGTAAGGCTGCACGTCTCTGCTCTATGTGACGTCCATATTTTTAAGAGTGACCATTAACGAGGCTTCTCTCTTCCTGTCTCTAATCCACACTATGAAAGTCCATAGCGTTACAAAATGTCAAAAAAATTGAAGTAATAATAAAGGAAAAGGAAGAGGTGGGGAAGAAATTTGCTCTGCGCCTTCTCTCTCTTTCCAACATCCAAAGGCTCAGCTGCAAGAGCCTAAGCAGAGTGTGTTCCTGCTTGCTATGTCACAGGGCTGTAAAAGCTTTATAGAGCATAAAACTTTGGTTTAGGTGCACCTGTCAGGCACCAAATCTCTCCCCAGCCTCCTGCTCCAGTTTCTACCCCCTCTCCGACTGAGCTGTAAATTCTTGAGGAAGGCAAAGCAGGCTTATACCATACCAGCAGTGTTAGTCCTGGCAGAGGGGCTTTCATGCATTGGTGAAGAAAGATGAGCAAAAGCCTTCCTACCGTCACTTCAGGCTGTGGTGGGGTGTCAAGTCAAGGTTCCCCAGTTGGCCATGCAGAGGCTGGGGCTGTTTGGGGCAGGTGGTCAGGGTGTTTGGCTTACCCAAGGGCCAGCTAGAGCCTGGGGGAGAGGGAAGGGGCTCTTTTCTTTTATTTGAGCATCCATGTTTTAGTGGTTAGCACTAAGCTGGCTCATCTGGTGAGGGAGCTCAGGAGAACATTGTTTTCTCAGTTAAAGAAGAAAAAATAACTCTCCCAAGCTTCGCAAACAGTGTCTCAAACCCTCCCCTTTGCTCCCCATCTCTGCCCAGCTCTTTGCAAATGAGAGCATCCCGGACCACGTTGGCTTTGCACGTGTGAAGATTAACCTCATCAATGAGAACGACAACCGCCCCATTTTCAGCAAGGCCCTGTACAACGTCAGCCTCTTTGAGAACACCACCTTGGGCACCACTGTCCTCCAGGTCCATGTGAGTAGGAGCATTCTGGCTTTCTTTGCCAAGTTCTTGGCACGCATGTGGCTCAGCGGTGCCTGTTGCCAAGGGATGGGCTGGGGAGCCTGGTAAGGAAGTGGTAGGAGATGCTGGTGGTGGGGTGGGGTGGAATGTCTCGCTCCCGTGGACTTTTGGAGTAGATGCCTTGACCTTTCATGATCTCTGGGGAGACATGTGTGGTTCCCACTACACTGGGAGCTCAAGTATAGTCCTGTACTGAAAAATCTCATCTGTAAACAGCGGCTTCTCCTGCAGATACTGATCCAAATGGTCGTGATCTTGTCTCTCCCTCCTCCTGGCTGCATGAGATCCACTGAGTATTTCAGTTGTTTACATGGCTTGTATCCCATCACATAGTCACTGCCTTTCTCTCACCTCACTAATGGGAAAAGATGCTCTGGTACCTAACGAACTTGGTTGCTTCATTGGTGAGAGTAAACACCCAAATTTCAGTGTGGGTTTTCTCATGGCCCTGTTTGGAAGCATCATCTTCCTCAATGAAATCAGGGTCAATTGAGCCAATAAAAGGGTGAAGGATGGAAAAAGAGGGAAATGACTGTATTTAGCAGAGCGTGATATTAAATAGCTGGTAGCAGAACAGTGGTGCAGCAGGCAGAGGTCATGACAATAGTGGGGTGTTCCCATAGGACTCGTCCTTCCTGGGTGGGTTGGTGGGAGCACCCAAATTCCCTGGTGAGAACATATGTTTCCTGGGGCACAAAGGCAATGTCAGCTGATGTCAGTGCCAGTGTGGGGCACAGCCAGAAGCAGAACAAAACCCTGCGCTGAAAACCAGTTAAAATAGGAAGCAAAGATCCTCTGGGATGGGAAATACCAAAGGGGGGGAGCATCAAAACCCCTGCTAGGTTTTGGGTGCGTTACTACTACTATCGTTAGTCGTAGATGAATTTGGTGCCCTCCCGCCCTCCCCCATGCCCCTACTCTCCTGGGACACAGCCCCTGGTCACCCAACCGCACTGGCATGCCGATCCATAGAATAAAAGCCCTGACAAAAGGGTTGGGTGTATGCGCCTGTGCGTAAGTGTGTTTACTCTACAAACAGATGGTGTGAAACTGTATAGAGCCCCTGAGCAGTTCCCATCTGACAGTTATTAATATTTCAAGCAGATGTTTAGCTAGTCAGACCGTCAGACACTAAACAATGAGATTGTTACTGCGTCTCCTCTTTCCCCAACTTCCAGCTATGCCAGCATTTCACAGGGAACGCAAAATGCCAGGAGTTGAATCTTCTATGATAAATCAGAATGGATGCAATTAGCACTGAAATCCAGATTGCCCTCCCAGCTGATCCCAAACTTTTAACAACCCTCATAAAGTACCAGCTCCTCCTGCTGCTGCTGCTCGCCTTTGAGATGCAGCCCTCTGCTCACTTCCACGGCACTGCCCGTCTGCACTGTGCCTTTCCAACTGTCCCTTGTGCCACAGACAAAGGCTGCTTTCCTTAATAATAAATCACTCCTTTTCTTTTTTCCTTTATTTTCTGCTTGTCTGGGCGCTCTTTATGAGTATTCCTCTACAGGGGTTAGGGATGGGTTTTTGAAGAAAGCCTGGCCAGCCACATGGAGTGCCCACTTCTTTGGTGGCCACTGAATGATGTCCCCATGAAAGGGGACTTTTGTTGGCTCCCCCCTTGTTCAGTGCTGCAAAATGCCCCTTTGTGCAAATAAGTGGAGGGTTTGTGCCATGTGTTTTGAGGGGCAGTGGGTTTCCAGGGTGCTAAGGGCAAATCAGGAGGTTTATGAGATTGGGATGAACAGGAGAGCGTGTGGGCCAGGCGAACGGTTGCCAAAGGAAGGCAGGAGGCTTCCCACCAGCCGTTGCCAGTGGTGGCCGAGCACAGCTGGCAGGTCAGAGCAGTGCCTGCAGATCCTTCCTGGCAGGGAGGCAAGCAGCTAAAACCACGGGGGGCTGAGGCAATGGGAGATAGCTGATCTTCTGCCCAGCCCGACATCCTGGGGAAGGAGGAGATGTCACTCCTGGCAGCCCAGAAGATCCTGGGCTGCTCGCCCATCTTCCAGCAAGCACTTCCCTGCTAGTCCCCTTTGGCCGTGTGTGGTCGGGTGGGTGTAGGTGAGGGGAAGGGGGTTCCTTTGTGACCTGGGAAGAGCAGCGAGCCTCCCCTGCTGAGCAAACGCACTCCTCACTGCCACCTTTCCCTGCTGCCCTCTGCTTGGTCAGCCAAAAATGGAAAGGCAAAAATAAAAAAAAGAGTAAGCAGACTTTATTTGCGGTGACAAATGGCCATTCGTCTCTGCAGCATTTCAGCTCCTAATGTCACTGACAGCAGAGAAACATTGCCTGTTACACATATAAATCAACTGTAAAACAACCCAAAGTGCTGGCAGCCAGCAGCAATCCAGAGCCACTACCTGCTTTCCACTCTCTGCCT